TTCTTGATATTTTAAGAAAAATAGAATGATTTATATGTGCAGATCTTGAAGTCTTTCCTAACTTGAAATTTTCAAGTTTGAGCCCAGAAGGAATGCATTTGTCCAGAAGGCCTTATAGCAAAAATGAGAGGGAGGGGGAAAAAAGCCACATATGCTAACTAAGTGTCATCTCTATGTTTTTCCTAATCCCAGCATTTAATGATGCCGCTTCTCAAAGCCCCATCCCTCTGGAAGGTCTGGCAGCCAGGCATCTTGAGAGTTTTTATCAAGAGGTGGTCACCTGACATGAAATGCAAATTAGCAGAGACTGGATTTCTAGGCTATATGTTAATCCCTATGGAACTATGTGTTCCAAACTTTCCTGTATAGTTCTCATACCAAATATTCTATCCTACTGTCCCCATAAGTACTCATGTATTTGTCAGATTTCACATCCCGATTTCGGGCTAAGAAAATAAAATCATTGTATTTGTAGGCCTATAATGATCTTGTATTCACAGGGCATTTTACAGCAGTTGCTTCACCGGGCTTATCTAGAGCCCATTTACTTCCACTAACATGGTCAGCCAGCCCTGAAGAAGGGCCTATCAATTGCTTATCAGCTGTAAGCATGACCCATCTGTGGAGAACACTTGGGTGGAAAAATGCTGCTGTTTTCCAAATTAGAACTTGAGCTGGAGGAGCTGTTTCTGGGACAACTGTGAGCCAGTTCCAAGAAGAAGCTATTAAGCATCCAGGCCTTGAAAGCCAAATTCTCATGGTGGACTGAAGAGAAGGAATCCTGGCCCCCTGCCATCACTCACCAGACTGGCTTCTGCTGGCTGTGAGGAAGGCAGGCAGAAACTAGATGCCTTTCCTGAGACTAGCCTTGGAAACATCTAGGCTCCCCTGGAAGCAGGGACTAGGCTCCTGCACTTTCCTGGCAGATGTTGGGAGCATGTGTTACTGCTTTGTAGACACAGATCATGAGGCTGAGAGCCGCAGTCTATAGGGTATGGGGAGGCATTTAGCACAGTGGTGAAGCCCACAGGCTCTGGAGCCAGGCCACCTGGTGCTAAACTCCATGTCACCAGTTACCAGTTGTATAACCATGGATGGGCCATTGAACATCTCTAAGACTCACTCCTCTTATCTGTAAAATATGGTTAATAATAGTATCTACTTCACAGAGTTGTTACCAGGAGGAAATGGAATTATCCAAGTAGAATGTGGAGAGCTGCACGTGACCCACAGTAAATCATCAGAACATGTAAACGAAGGTGTAAGAGGCTTTGGTGTACCAGGACAATCCTTTACGCAATGGCTGAATCCCCACCAAGGCATCTCCTCCAAGAGCTTGTTTAGTCAATGCTTGAATACCCCTGAGGAGGGGGAGCCTACTAGCTCTTAAAGCATAGGTCTGTTTTGTGGACGGTTTTTATTTGTGTTGAACCTAAATCAGTCTGACTACTTCCTAGTTGTTCCTAGTTCCATCCTATGGTCATGCAGAATTCATCTAATTCCTCTTCCTCAAAATCGCAGTTTAAGTCACGTGAAATTCATTGCTTTTACCCTCTCTGCCTGTGCGTTTGCTCATTCCACGAGTTTTGTCTTTGCCTTCTAAAGATCATTGAATGACATAGTTTCAAATTCCTTCATCATTGTGGTTTATGTTCTGAAGGCAACCTGTGCTTACAAATGAGATTTAGTTCTATGTGCATCAAGTCACTACACTGTATTGATGCAAAGATAAGATGAGGCTCCAGGAGCTCTTAGGCAAGGAATGACATTCTAGGTAGAGGGAACAACTCATGCTGAAATAGGGAGGGTTGAAGCCACAAAAGTTCAGACAGTTTGGTATATTGCTGGAATTAAAGTGAAAACTGGAATCAGATGTGATCAGGCTGTGACAGGAAACAGGTGAGTTTTACTTGTCGGCAATGGGGAATCATCAGAGGACTTGAGTAGGGAAGTGACACACTCCAATTTGTGCTTTAGTAGAGAGTGAAGATCGGGCAAAACTGAATGTAGGGGGATCAGTTAATGGAATGACAAACACCAAGGAGATAGAGAGGAGGAAAACGAGTCATGGACCAAAATGTCCAAAATATATATCAACAGGGTAACTGTGGTTATGTCTGGGTGATGGGATAATGGGTGATTTCTCTCTCCTTTTTGTTTCCCTATGTTTTCCAATTTTCTATAATAAGTATTTTCCATTTCCTCTATATTTAGCATATGTTATTTATATAGTAAAAATAATTTATACTTGTCTAAAATACTTCAGACTCAAACTGGCAGAACTTGGTCACTGGTTGGAGGGAGGAGTTAGGGGATCATCTGGCCTAGGTGCTCAGGTGGCTAGTGAGGCCACCAGCCGAGATCAGGACAGGGGAACAGAGTATTATTTAAGAATTCTGTGGCATCCCTGCTGAAAAGGGCCCCAAGACTTCTTTGACTTCCTTTTGGCCTCTTTGCATCCTGCTCAGTAGTCTTTGCTTGGGTCTGCAGGCCCCAGAAACTCCCCGGCCATTCACATCCCTACCTGCCCAGCAGACTTGTAGCAAAGCCCCCCAGTGCTCCATGACAGCAGCAGCATTTACTTAGATTGTGTGTTACTCCTTCAGTAAACACTTACTGAGTGCCCACCATGTGCTAAGCACCAAGCCAGGTCTTAGCCATAAAATGGTGAAAAGGACAGTGCCTATCTTCACAAAACTCAACCCGGTGTGAGAGACAGATGAGAATTTTTTAAAAGCACTTAATGAACATACAATTCCAAACTGAGACTAATGTTCCAAAGGAGAGGAAGCAGTTCTAAGAAGACATATAAGAAAGGAAACTTCTCTGTTCTGGGAGCCTGGGGAAGGATCCCCAGGAAGAGAGATGCTTGGGCTGAGAGCCAAAGGGTAAGTAGGAGGGAACTAAGGAGAAGTGTTCCAGCGAGGCAATAACATTTCTGACGGCTGGTTGGTAGGAGGAAGTATGGCATATTTAAGTCCAAAAGAAAAGCTGTTTGGCTAGGAGTCCAGAGAGTGAGGGACAGAGGATGGAAGTGGGTGGAAAGGGGGACCAGCCGGACTCCACGGGGCCTCATTGGGCATGGGAAAGATTCTGATCTTTATCCTAAGAGCAGACCCTCTGGCTGTGGCATAGAGGAGAGTTTCCCATCCTGTGTCTCCCACCATTTTATTGCCGTCTGAGACAGTGGCACTGAAGGCCTGATGACAAAGCTCCCTCGTGGCCTGTGGAGCCCGGATTCAGGGGTTTCTCTCCCTCTTCTGCAAGCAGCACTTAGTGCATTCTCCCCACAGCAGACACCTCTGAAACCTGCTTTGCAGTTCAGTTTTCAACTTTCTCGTGGCTTCGCATACTTTAACACTAATGTGTGTACAACTTGCTAATTAATGGAATCATTTGGATCTGAAAACATCTTGTTCTAATGGGAGGCTGCAAAGCACTCTCATTAATTCGCAGGTAAAATTATTCTAGCTCTTCTCTTCCTTCCTTTATTTATTTATTTTTCTCTGCCCAGCTTGGCTTAATAGCTGGGGAGAATTCTTCTAATTAGCCTTGTGAAAGCCACTCCACCAGATCACAAAGTGCCAGTTACTGCCCTGGGGTCTGGGGAGAGGGTGACCCAGCCTTTGTTTACCCAGGGCAGAAGGCAGTGGGTGAATACAAAGATGAAGCTCCCGATACACAGAGAACTAGAAGGATATCTGTGGTGAGTAAGTCAGACAGCAGCACTAAACGTGCCCTATGTGGTGTAGTTCAGAGGCAGGCATCCTGTCGTATGCATGTCAAAGGTGGGCCCCAAGAAGATTTTCTGCACTGCTGCCCTTCCCCCACATCTCTCTTAGGATATGAAGACTTGGTGTGCTCACTTTTGACAGAAAGCTTTCTTGAGACTAGGGGTAATCTGGGGTGACTTGCTAGTGACTACCTCTCCACCACTTGTAAATGAAAGCTTGCGACATCTCCTTTAAACAGGAAACATTCTTGGTGTGTTATTTATGGTTGAGTTTATGAGTAAGGGGGTCCTCCTTCCCATAAGACAACAGTAGAGACTTGCAGACATTTGGGGTGCACTGACAAGACCTATGGGCTAAATAAGGTTTATCATTTACTCTTTTTTTTTTCCTGAAGAGATCTAGGTACTTTAAATTTTTTTTATTGTCATATATACATATCAAAATTTACCATTTTAACCATTTTTAATTGTACAGTTCAGTGGCACTAAGTACATTCACATTGTGCAACCACCACCACCATCCATCTCTAGAACTTTTTTTATCTTCCCAAACTGAAATTCCGTACCCATTAAGCACCAACTCCCTTCAATGCAGTTTTTGAATGGAAGACTCTCATATTCTTCAGACTCAGATGCTAAGGGAAGGTGGCCTAGTCAGAAATCTGTAGGAAGAGAGGTCCATTCATGCAATCCAGAGAAGATGCTTTCAGAGCTATTTCCTCAGACCTCTCACACAGGTCACACTACCCAGGTATATCCTGGGAGTATGTGTCAGTTTCAGCAAAGGAAGTCCCACCCTCCCTGATGCTGTACAACCAGGCTGATTTGTTTTATAGCATATGGGTCAGCCATAGGCTCTTGAGTAACCAATAAGTCTTTGCATGGCTGGCTCTAGTAAAAGCAAGCCCTGTCTATAATAAAATGTAGAGAAAAAGATGCTAAGTTGTCTCTAAGATGGGATATTAGAAAATTGGGTAGTTCTGGATGAAACAACATGTTCTTCCCCTTGGAAGTATAGCCTCTGCCAGTCCTTTCATTTGGATGTACCTCCAAGAGAGATTTGGAGTCAGGCCAACCTCAATTTAGATTCCCACTCTGTCACTCAGTTTCTTCATCTAAAAAATGGAGCTCGTGATATATTACTGGTAGAGGTGCTAAGAAGATTGCATGAGATTGTGTCAGTATGGAATCAAAGACAGCACGTAGATCAAAGACAGCACGTTGATGTGGATGTTCTCACTATTATTGCTATCATTTGTCGTTGTAGGTCTCCAGGTGGTCCTGAATTCCATCATCAAGGCCATGGTCCCCCTGCTGCATATCGCCCTGCTAGTGCTGTTTGTCATCATCATCTATGCTATCATCGGCCTAGAGCTCTTCATGGGGAAGATGCATAAGACCTGCTACAATCAGGAGGGTATAGCAGGTAAGGGAAGACACTGAGTGGCCACCTCTCGAGAAGCTTCACTGTCTCATCACGACTTTCCCTCCAGCTGGGTACACTGCCACCATATCAGCAGGGGTGCTGGGTAGGCCCCCTTTATTCCAGTGCTCATGTTTCCATACCATGGTTAAGTGAGAGGCAGAGATTACTATTCTCTTTCTCTCAGTAGTTTTGTTTTTACTAAAACAGATCTCTGTTAAAACTATGTAAAATGCAAACTTTGTCCAGCATTATTAAAACACTGTTTAAATGAGCTGTACAATTCGAGAAACATCACTTAGCCAACCTTGAATATTTTAATTTAAGAATCAGAGCTAACCTAGTGACTGTGTGGATCTTCGCTCCATTAATCCTTTAGTGTTGCTTGTCATGAGAAGCCCTTTCAGGAAAGCAGCTTAGCCTGTAGCCAGCAGGCTCTCCCATCATGACATTGGGTTCTTTTCATCCTTAGGCGCTGACCCCAACTTCTCTGCTCTTAATGTTTTCTGCTTCTCCATTCATAGGCAGAACCACTGGCCCCTATCTCAGGGTAGGATGAGGTGGCGGGCATGGAATCACCTCCTTGCCAGCAGTGAAACTTCTTTTCCTCAAGGAGGTTTTGCTCTACCTCATGACTTCGCAGTCCTTTCTTTTAGAGACCTCTCTCCATGTTCCTTCCATAAATCGATATATTTAACAAGCAATGCTGGCTCATTAAGCGCTTCCTTGAGTAGGTCTAGAGTTTGGCTTATGGAATATGCTGCAAACTGCTATCTTAAGTTACTAAAATCTCAGCTTGACCTTTAAAAAAAACATTTAAACAGAAATTGAGAAGGCTTTTTGAAAAAAATATTCCCCCAAAGGGGTTAGCAATGTCAAATTTGTGTGATTTTTTTCTTCAAAGAACATCTTTCATCAGTTTTCGGCATCTTGGCGAAGAAAGGGGAGCAGGTCTGAAGCATTAAAAGATACCTCATTTCTCTCCATCTATTGCTTCTCATTTCCACTCAGCCCAGGAATTAAACTCAATTTGACCCCTCTTGCTTTGGGAAGCTGACGGGGGACAGCATAAATACAATGAAGAGTGAAATGGGTGATTCGTATTCAGAAACCAAAATGGGTTACCCGATACGGGTGATCTGATTTGACTGGATATATTGGGTATTTGAAAGATATCTAGGACACTGCCACATGGCCACTGTCTCAAATAAACGAACAAAAGCTATAAACCTATAATCACAGACTCACACTGTTGTTTTTCCTTTTTTGATGAAGAGTCTGTTTAAGAAAAGACCATTTTTTCCACTCTAGAGAGAATTTCCAAATTATTTGAGTCGTAATTGTATAAAATAAACTATCATGTTAAAAAATAGAAACTCTTTAATATTGGAACAAACCGGTCTTGCCTTTAGCTGAAATTCTGAGGTTCTAGGACTTGCTTAAATAAATACTAAATAATACAATAAATAATATTTTCCCTTGAATTCAAAATCTTTATGTACACTTGGATCTGTAGCTAGCCTCAAACCTATAAATTTAATTGTGTGTCTTTGTTGGAGCTCATTCTAAGTCCTTCTGAAGAGCTGGCTATAGTGTATCTAAAGTTTATGCAGTTGTATCGAAGTGATCAATGATCCGTTTGACCCAAACTCCTTAGGCAGTCACTGGGATGCTGAGTCTCAAAGACCCCCATCCATTCAGCGGTAGGGGTGAAAGTGTGGCTCTCACCAACAGCATACCAAGTGGGGGAGAGTGAAATGGTGGAATTCTGCCATAGAGCCACAGATGGCAATCCTGCCCTGTGACCCAGCGTCTGTGCACCACTTAGCGAAGGACCAGTGTTCCCAAAACTGCACATGGCTTCTATCATCCTGCTGGGAAAATAGCAAAAGTGTATTTCCTACTGGTGGTAGGATCCTCTAAGGGCCTATGCTAACAAGCAACCTTGAACATCGGTTGGAAGTCAGTGGGCTTTGTTGAGGCCTTAGACACAGGATAAGACACTCTCCTCCATGTCATAGCTGGACGGTCTGGTGAAACAGCCACGTCGGGCCTGATAAAAGTTTAAGTAGCCTCCCTACTTTTAGAATAAAGACCAGAACTGGCCTCACCAATTGCAATGTCCAATTTAGGACCATATTATTGTCCATCTCTGATGGTAAATAGGACCAGGAAAAGTATCTGGGAGGTCGCCTGCTTCCCACCAAAAGGCACATCAGATTACTTATATTGTGGGTTTTACCTTCACCCCAGAAGTTCAGAAGGGAAGGTGGCTCCCATCATGGAAATGACCATTAGCTCTGGGAGCCAGGGTGTCAGAGGACAGACGCCGAGAGAAGTGTTCCAGAGAGAGGAGCCATGCCAGCTCCACCAGGAAGGTGACCTCATTCTCTGTGTAGAACCAGACTCGCTGCTGGGAAGAGAGACCAAGGACACTTGGCTGCGGGAGCCTTTCCTCTCAACACTGCAATCAGGAGTTCACTTATCTCCTCCTTCCTGAACCTGACATCTGATGACAATCCAGGGACCCACTCCATTACCCAACAGAACACAATACAGCTGTCATCAGGGCCTCTTCCACCCACACAGTGACTAATACTGATGAGGAGAAAAAAATGTATAGGAATCTGGACATACTCAATGCAGCCACTGAGTAGAAGACCAGAACAGTAGTCTTTGAAACCAGTCTCCATGTGTTTTGGAGAGTTTTGTACCACCTTTGGAATGGGTAATTTTTTTTTTTTTTTAATTTCAGGCTTTGGATTGAATTACCATATTTGTCTGCAAACTTACATGATACAAAATTGCTTGTGAGCCCTTCTTAGAATTTTTAATGGAATTTACATCAAATTCTTCTTTTTACACTTTGAGATTATTTTTCAGACTGAATGTTATGTGCCTATATTTTAGAATATATTGTATTTTAATCCATGTTTCCTATAAAATCTATTTTAAAAATCTCCTGAACTGGCCAGGTGAACCATTATTCTGCCTCTAGGCTGCCTTTCCAGTTCCCTGGAGAGGTGGTCTCAAAAGAGTCAATGTTTCCCCAACCCCCAAGGCATCTGGAAGGCGCCTTCCTCGATCTTCCACATCACCATATGCCAGTACCTTTTGTTTCTGGTTGTCCCATCTGTTTGATGGTGCTCCCAGCCAGGTCACTCTGAATAGCTCTCCCAAGCACAATAATTACCCCTGAGACTGGCAAAGAATGGGTTGGCTAAAACCTAGAAATGAAATCACTTTCATTCAATTCATTCCTTAAAGTTGGGTCCTAAAAAGTAATTTATTTGGTCTTTGGTATTTCTCCTTGGAACCCCTAACTGGCTCTCTTCCCAGGATTTCATGGTCTTGTTGGTATTGACTGCATTTCTAAAATCTCTCCTAATTTTGCCTCCACTATTTCACCGCAGAGTTAATTTGGACTTTCCAGAATGACCTTACCCCTCTTTACTTCTGTTTAAAACATAGGGTCCACGTTGCTTTGTTCCTTCCTCCTACTTTATGTTTCCACTTTCCCCCTGGGACTTCATGACTCTGCACCAACACATTTTCACATTAGAACTAATTTCCCCTCACCCTCCAGTTCATGTCACAAGGACCTGCTGATTTGCATGTGTTCATATTTTTCAAGTGTTCCTTTTAGTGCTTTTTATAGATACCTATTTTTACCAGATCATCACTACTTCTTAATTGTTCCCAAATTTTTTTTATTGTTGTTCAAGATGGATTTAATTTAAAATAGCAGAGTGGCCCTTGAGCCTTTAGATAATCTTTCTGAATCTCATCCTTTTCTCTTTTATTAATGAGATCACTTCCCCTTGATGCCATTTTATTTTCAACATATATTTGTAAAACCCCAAAATGGGTTTTTCTTCCTTGAGGACACTCGGAACTCACTCTGGCAACCTGCACTTTTTCCTTATTCCTGCCTATTTCAGGAATTGAGAATGCAGGGAGAGCTGTCAGATTAGCAGTCACAATACAAAGATTAATAGCATCTTTTTTGCACTAGAAAGCAAAACAAGTGAAAAAGAAATGCAAGTTTTCCCTCTGTTTTTTTTCACCTTCTCTTTTTGTCCCATCTTTTATATTATTCCAGCACTTCTATCACAATGACTGACTACATCTCTCTAGAAAGCCATCATTAGAACAGCTGAGAACCCAACAAAATTTATGATCTATTTGGTTTTTGGTTTTCCAGTCTCTCAACTCTCAAATTTTTAGGTACTTATCCACTTTTTAAAAAATTCTTTAGGTTTGGGATTCATTTTTTAATTTCCCACCTTTTATAGGCTCCCATTGTTTAAGCTCACATTCGAATATCCAAAGATTTCAAAAGTCACAAAAATTTGGCTAAAGTTTAGCTACATGAATGGAGCCCTCCTGGGAGCTAGCACCCGGAGTCAGGAAATGGTACAGACACTGTCATTCCCTCACACAGCTCAGGAACCAGTGATGTAGGCCTTTACACCTTGGTCATGCACAAAGCCCACATACAACCTGAAATACTAGGCCAAAAATAAGCTGAGAAACAGCACTATTCACAATAATCCAAACCTGGAAACAACCCAAATGTCCATCAGCTGGTGAAGAGATAAACAGACAATGAAATGTATAGCTCAGCAATAAGAAAGAACAGACTATACTGATATGTGCAACAACATGGATGGACCTCAAAAATATCATGCAAAGTGAAAGAAGATGGATGCGAAAAGCCACATATTTTATTCGATTTATGTGAAATTTCTAGAAAGGCAAAGCTCTAGAGACAGAATGCAGATCTGGTTGCTAAGGGGCCGGGGACAGGAGCAGGGATTGCCTGCAAACAGGCACGCGAGAATTTTGGAGGGTGATGGAAATGTTTTAAAATGGATCGTAGTGATGGCTGTACGACTATATAAATTTACTAAAAATAATTTAGCTGTACATTTACATTCATGGATTGTAAGACATGTAAATTATATTTCAATAAAGCTGTTAAAAAGAGAGCGTAAAAGAAAAAAGCCAAGAAGATACAATCCTGCATATATTTTCAGCCATGCTGCTTAACTCCATTCTCCTAAGAATTATCCCTTAGTTAAAGATTATTGTTTCTCTTCCTGTCTTCCTCTTGGGAGTGAAGTTTTAAATTTGAAGCCACAAACTGAGAAACAACCAACAGTCTTTAGTACAGAAATACTAGATACTTGTGAATGTTTTGATACATGTGAAACAAGAAAATATCTCTTGATGAAGAATTACAAGCAAATTCTCTCTCAGAGGCCATATTTTCACTGTTGTTAGAGGCAAGCATTTGTTTGTTAAAACTAAGGTCTATCCTGTTTATTACTGTTACTTTCTATAAGCATGAGACAATGTCCTTAATTTCACAGACTTCTGTGATTTCTACACTATTAGCTTCCACAGCTGGGGCCAAGACTTTCTCAGTATTTTACCGTAATAGAAATTCTTAGATCAGTCAAGTCTTATTTAAATTTACTAATGATCTCCACACCAAAAATATAAACCTCATCTCAACTCATTAATTTTTTAGTAGCTCTTCCCAGCATGTAGAATTAGCCCAAGCACTGTCTCCAGGCACAGTAGATATGTTATACTGTTTCCTGAAAAAGCCCCATTGATACCTATCAAATGTTCTGCCTGTCACCCACTGCCATTCTGTCTCGAGTAGAGTTCAGAAAATGATTCTTTTCTTCTGAAAGGTAGTAATGCCAGAGAGCAAAGGGCAGTGCTTCCAGGTTCCACAAGACCTGCATCAGTCAGTGGTGCTTGTGCTCAGCGGTTGTAATAAAGACTGCTGCAGTTGATACTTTTCCCCTACAGTCAGAATTTATTTCTATCCTTCATCTCTATAAGGCTTCCACTACAGAGTGTTTTGCATCCCTGGTAATGTATCACGTAATGTATCATATAGTCAGAAAGTGCTTCTGGATGGGGTCTGTTGGCTAATTATGTGAAAGAGTCATCCAACCAATATTACCCTCACTCTAAACTCTGGTATTACAAGGGAAACGTCCATAGTTACTTTACCATCAAAAAAAGGAAATGTGGATTTTCTGTCATTTTCCACTCAAAGTAGTTGCATTGCCATCGTTTTCTTTCATTGGCCACTTGACTGTGATGCTGATATATTACAACAGAATGTGCAATAACTCTACCGTCTTTGAAATCAATTACTAGGCTTAAAGTACGGTTTTATAACAATTAGTTGAAAGTACTGAACTTCTAAATCAATATCAGCCCTAAATAAATACTAGTTACTTATGTTTTTTAATTCACATAAGGGGAACTAATGAAAATTTGTTCTACATTATTGTTGCTGTGGCTGTTTTGCTTATTACATCAACCTTATCCTATCACTTTCCTCTCTAACTCCTCTCTCCTTCTTTCTTTCCCTCCCTTCTGCTTCCTTCTCTTTTCCTCTGGCCATTTAAGATGTTCCAGCAGAAGATGATCCTTCCCCTTGTGCTCTGGAAACGGGCCACGGGCGGCAGTGCCAGAATGGTACTGTGTGCAAGCCCGGGTGGGATGGGCCCAAGCACGGCATCACCAACTTCGACAACTTTGCCTTCGCCATGTTGACAGTGTTCCAGTGCATCACCATGGAGGGCTGGACAGACGTGCTGTACTGGGTACGTAGCTCGAGATGGATAGAGGCAGGGAGTCCAGAAAGCTGCGAGCCTTCCCTCAACATCTTCCTTGTTCATCCACCCCATACATGATTTTGGTGGAGAGGTTGATGAATGTCTTTGATTTCTTCCAGGTCTTTTCTGAGAAACAAAGCATGAAATGTTCACCCTAATGAGTCTCTCTCTGCCCACCAGCCTAAGAGAAATGCTGTCTTTTAGTGTGTCCTATTGTAGTGAGAAGCACTGGCATGCCGCCGATGCTCTGAGGATTCCATTCCCTCCTCTCCCACTGTCGGGTTTCTTCTGTTCTTATCCTTGTCTTGTTTCTGTCCCCAAAAGAGAGCTAGAGGACACAGTTATTAATTTTTAGGGCTAAAAAGGAAAGACAGGCCTGGTCGTCTAAAAAGAAACTATTTTTATTGAATTATATAGTATTACGGCATGCTATTATGTTTTTATTTCTCATGTTAATCTCACTTTATCCATCAAATAGTCCATCAAATACATTGCTATATTTTCACTGCTAACAAAACACTCTGCTGTTTATGTGATTCATATTTAGAAGTAATAGTTAAGTGTCAACCAATCAACAGTAAGTCTTTTACTTTAAAGATGCCCCTTTTATTATCCAGCAGCCAACACTACTTTGCCAACCTTTGAGCTGCTGATGTGCCAGATTTTTGTACAGCTTGTCCCATAGGCAAATAGACACACCATTTTTGAGCTGTCTCCATTTTGGCAGAGTCAAGTCTATTATTTGTAAAAACTCCAAAAGAAAAACATAATTCTGTGTAGTATCTCCTACTTCAGCATGAGAAATGATTTGCCAGGATCCAATGTTGTTCTCTAGCATTTGGGGAAAAAATGCTTGTTGCCATTCTTGAAAATACCATTTCACCCAGCGTTTTGCAAATAGTCAAATTTATCTGACCATCCTGAAAACAATATAAGAGCCTGCTTCAGGAACAGTCTCTACACACAAAGCGGGAGAGAGTGAGAGGGAAGTGGAATGCCTTACCACCAGCGGAGCTGCCAGATGGAAAGGAACTAGTGCTGTGAGAGGTGTTGACTTCCTACTGAATCAGAAAAGTTTTGTAACAACATAGAGATGTGATACAGGGGATTTCTAAGCACCATGTTCTATTGACTCAAAAACCTTCTTTCTGGGTTTTTATGTTATAGTCGACATGCTAAAATTGCTATGAAATTTGTACTCAAATGACTACTTGGAACTTGCCTGAGTACCTTGTGCCTAGCAAACATTTATTGAGCATTCTTTGCATGCCAGGGGTGCTCTTAGGTACTGAGGATTCAGACATAAAAAACATCCAGTTCAGGCTGAGAGCTTGGTCTAGGGAAACACACTAAATCCAAACTAGATAACGATGGTACAACGAGCCTGGGACACGAAAGAGTTGCTGTGTTGTGATACTTTCAAAAGAAGTATCCTTTATGTTCAATAAAGTCACGTTAAATCACATCACCCCTCCTTCAAACTGAAATGAATAAGAACTGATTTTAAATAATTTGTACAGAGAGGGAATTCAACTTATTATACTTAGGCAAATTTATTTCATTAGCAAAGCTGATCAAATTCCCAAGTGGCCCTAACTGGTCCTAGTGCCTTGAGTGGATCCCTCCAGCCAGCCAAGGATAAAGGCACCATTCTGCAAATGAGCAGTTTTTGCCCATGGGCCATGAACGTATGACTGTATGGAACTGTGCTTTGGAACCTCATCATGTGAGCTTCAAACCCATGCTTTAAGTTGCTATGGAAACGCCTTCCATGGCAGCAAATTGAGGGCAGGGTGGCAGTGGGTGGATGGGTGTGGGGTTGGGGGGAATAGGTATAATTTACTTTACTGATGGCCCTGATGTATGTTTGTGATCTTCTTTTATCACTCCCTCCCTCTCCCCCACCACAAGTCATTGATACCCCACCAGCCAGATGTGACCCAAAGAAATTCTGTCATTCTGACAGCCAGAGTAGGGAATGAGAAGAAGCACACAAATGCAACTACCAATTTTCAGCAGCTGTGTTGTGCTTTCTCCCCTGGGGTTTATGTTATAGAGCTCAGGCTGGAAATGGAAAAAGTGTCAGAGGTGAAGAAACAATCCCAGACTCATGGGACATGTCTCTCTCTCTCTCTGATTTTCCCAGCACCTGTCTGAAATGGCTGTGAGTGTGTGTCTGTGTATGTGTGTGTGTGTGTGCACGTGCACACACATACACAGACACACCTAAAGCTGAAACAGAGCCTTGTACTTGGGTATCTATGATGGAAGCACCTCCCAGCCCAATGCTCCTGCTTTCAGACAATTTCTCTAATTACATTGACCTTTCTATGGCCATTTCTTTCCTCCTCCTTCCTATCTTTCCCTCTTCCTTTCTCCAACTTGAGCATTCCTCCTCCTTGCCTCTAGGCTTGTATCTCTAAACCCACAGACTCTCAAATCTCAATGTGCTTTAGTATAAAACATGGAGATTTCTAAATATAACCATGCCAAGACTTCCCTCCAGGCCATTGAATTAGAATCTGCAAAGTTAGGCCCCAGTACCTGCATTTTGAAAAAGCTCCCCAGGTGATTCTGATGTTCAAGCTGGAGTTTGAAAACCCCTAGAATTCTAACCTATTGAATCTGCATGGTGCTTTTTTGATGCCCTGGATTTGAACCAGTCTGGAGAGATAGTTTCCATGGAACTTGAAGTAGAATCTTCTACTCAGAAGAATGCATTTCCCTTCAAGTCCAAGGGACAAGTCTAGAGAATGCAGGACAGAACAACCCAGATTTTCAAGTATGGCAATGAATGGAAACCCAGAGCTGGGTTCATTCTGAACCACCAAACAGCTAGTTAGGTGTTCCTGGGGAGAAAATAGGTCATCAGAGTACTGAAGGAGCAATTGATTCAATCACTAAATATTGCCTGGGATAGAAAGGACTTGGGAGGTCGCCAGTAGCAAACAGCAGACTGCTGCCTCCTGCTATGGAAAATATCGAGTATTTCTCTTTTTCTCTGATACCAATTATTTCATCCCATTGTTATGATTAGGAAGAGTTAATGGACTAAAAGTAAAATCAAAGTTAAGTAAAATCAAATTAAAGATAAAATCAAGTCTTAAATAAAACTTAAGTATTTCCTCAGCTATTAAGGCTATTGGGCATACACTAGGTGGAGGCCCCAATCAGCTAAATGATTAGCTTAAAACGTT